AGAGGAGAGAGAGAGAGAGAGAGAGAGAGAGAGAGAGAGAGAGAGAGAGAGAGAGAGAGAGAGATGGATCGACTGGTGTATGTGGAATACGATAGGTTTGACGAGGGTGATTACTATGTGTACATGCATGTCTAGCGAGTGAGGGGGCGGGGCTGAGGGCGGATATACCGGGCACAGGACGGATACCGGGCACAGGGGGATATACCGGGCACAGGACGGATACCGGGCACAGGGCGGATATACCGGGCACAGGGCGGATATATCGGTCTGAGCGCGGATACCGGGCTGCCGGCGGGCCGCCGCTGACGGGGCGGATATATCGGTCTGAAATCCGGCCGCGTTTCCACCACCGACGGCCGCCCCCACCGATGGCAGGCAGACAGCTGAGTCAATGACCGGAAAACGCCCATCGCCGTCGCACCGTAATTGGTTTTCTATTAGCATATCTGGGCCTATGTATCACCACTAACAACATCCGATCGGACGCGCTGATCGCTGAAGGACTGTGGGGCTGAATGACTGAACGTTTCCTGTGGGACTGAATGCTCACCAAACGACTCCTGGTCTGTGGTATGTGACCAAACGATCTTGCCATGCATGCCATTCTCTTAAGATATGTATTTGGGTGATCAGTTGTAGTGTAAAACTATTCAGTAGCTATATCTACCTAAGACCCAGAGTATGATTCTCAATAAGGTCTTAAAGTGGGAGTAGGTACTCATGGTATCCTAGTGTCATCTTCCGCGCACTCGAGTCGCGCTTGGTTTCCCCGAGCATCCATAGCCGGACTGTTGACCGCAGTCAAACAGACCGTTGCCGACCAAACGGAGCGCGGTCTGCTCATCGCCGGCGACCCGGGAGCTCGGAGCTCGGAGCTCGGAGCTCCGACCTCGGCGTCGGCCGGCGGTCGGCGCTCGGCCGGTCCGCTGCAGGTGCAGTGTCTGTGCAGTTCTGTCAGTCTCAGTGTCTGTGCGGCAGCTCCGTCAGCTCCTGGCGGTCTGTGCGGCAGTTCTCCGTCAGCTCCTGGCGGTCTGTGCGGCTGTTCTCCGTCAGCTCCTGGCTGTCTGTGCGGCAGTTCTCCGTCAGCTCCTGGCTGTCTGTGCGGCAGTTCTCCGTCAGCTCCTGGCTGTCTGTGCGGTAGTTCTCCGTCAGCTCCTGGCTGTCTGTGCGGCAGGTTCACCATCATCGGCACGCTGACGGTGTCCAGTCAGGAGGCCGACCTGTCCGAGCTCAGTCAGTCGGACGCGCGCATCATCCTGCTCTACTCGACCCGCGACGAGGCCAAGGAGATCCTGCGGCAGGCCACCGCCAGCGGACTGACAGGTAACTGTCACCACTGCCACCGCCAGCGGACTGACAGGTAACTGTCACCACTGCCAGCGGACTGACAGGTAACTGTCACCACTGCCAGCGGACTGACAGGTAACAGTCACCACTGACAGGTAACAGTCACCACTGACAGCGCCCAGCGGACTGACAGGTGACAGTCACCACTGACAGCGGACTGACAGGTGACAGTCACCACCGCCAGCGGACTGACAGGTAACTGTCACCATTGACAGCGCCCAGCGGACTGACAGGTAACAGTCACCACTGACAGCGGACTGACTGGTGACAGTCACCGCTGACAGTCACCGCTGACAGCTGACAGTCGCCACTGCCATCGTCCAGCGGACTGACAGGTGACAGTCACCACTGACAGATGTCAGTCATCGCTGACAGGTGGGGGTCACTCGGGCCTCGCTATACATCATACACACACGACACCCCGCCGCCGTCAACACAACTGGAAGGCAAGATGTTATTAATGTGCTATTGCAAAAAGGTAGATGTCCTTGCTTAGCACACCGTAGTCATAACGAAACAGTCATATTTTGGCAATCATAATGGGGCAGTCATATTGTGACAGTCATATTGTGACAGTCATATTGTGACAGTCATATTGTGACAGTCATATTGTGACAGTCATATTGTGACAGTCATATTGTGACAGTCATATTGTGACAGTCTATTGTGACGGTCATATCGTGGCAGTTCAAGCTGTTCAAACCGGTGTTCATGCGCTCTGAATGCCTCGCCTCGTGATGGGGTGTTGGAAAGCTGCCATAAGATGTCCCAAAGCGAACCTACCAACGTGAACGGTTGTGCATTTTTTCCAAATACATATTTCTAGTGTGGTAACGCTTTCGTGTTAGTATTTGACTGCTTTGCTCAAGATAACGAGAATTTTAACTTCTTACTTGCTTACTCCGCTCGCACTTTCAAAAATATATTTTGCAGTTATTCCAAGTTGCCGAAATTACCAACTTAGCCAGCCTGTTCCTACCCGGTTATGTTCATGACACCGGTGGTTGTTCCCATCTCCAGGGAAGAACTACGTGTGGATCGTGACGCAGAGCGTGCAGGGCAGCACGGCAGTGGCGCCCGACAGTTTCCCCATCGGAATGCTCGGTGAGTCTGGGGCGCCTCGCGGCCCGCGGGTCATATCACGGGGCGGCCGGCGCCCCGGCGCCCCACTGGGGGGAACGCCCCCGGCCGGCGCCCCACTGGGATAACGCCCCCGGCCGGCGCCCCACTGGGATAACGCCCCCCGGCCGGCGCCCCACTGGGGGAACGCCCCCGGCCGGCGCCCCACTGGGATAACGTCCGCGGCCGGCGCCCACGCGCTGCCTCACGGGGGATAACGGTACCGACAGGGCGGCCTCTGATCCTGATCCCAGGGACCGCCGCGACCATTTGTACCAATTCACACGCCGAGGGGCAGAGCACCGCCAAATGCGACTTCATGTTTCAGAGCGCTGCTTTCGAATGTGCCTGTGTGATTGTGATTGATACGATGATGTTTCTGCTTTAGTAGAAATGTTGTAAATTTAGAATACATCAAGCTGAGTTTAAGTTATGAAGTTGTCGCCGATAAATCGTCATCATCACACCTCAAAGATCAGATCACTGATAACTCGGAGTCGCAATACCAAAACAACCACATACCACAAAATAACCACACGTGCAGATGACACCGGAGCTCACCGATGTGAACGAGTTGGATATGCACATCACTAATGCTATCCATGCTGCGGCCCGGGCGTCGGGCTGTGCTAAACTAAGGCGTTCTCCTAAAAGCTGGTGGACTCCAAGGGTCTCCAGCGCTCGTGATAAGGCTCGCTTCTGGTTCAGATTATGGACAGATTGTGGCCGCCCTGTGAACAGCGTTGTTTACGCGTGTTATTGTGAGGCTCGCCGTGCATACCGCCGCGCCCGTAAAACTGCTTCACGGGACAGGATAGATGAGGAAGCGCGCCTTCTTCACAGTCTTCGGCGTGATCGTAATGTTAGTGCATTCTGGCGTCGTGTTAACGCTGCGAGAAGAGGTGGGCAGCATGGATGCAGTAATCTTACTGTGGACGACTTCGCCGACCACTTTGGATCGATCAGCCAGGATGACGATTCACAGTTGAGCCCTGGTCAACAGCTGATATGTGACGCTGTTGCCACTCGCTTCTCCACTGGTTGTGACTCTGCCGAGATCCGTATTGTTACCCCAGATGAGGTATGTGAACTGATCCAGCAGTTAAAGCGAGGTGCTGCTCCGGGGATAGACCACGTAACAGTAGAGCATCTATTGTATGGTAGATCACAAGCTCTGTTGGTTGCGATTGGCCGTCTCCTCACTGCATGTTACGCCACTTTATCGGTCCCTGACGCCTTTTCTGTTAGTGTTGTGAGACCCATCCTAAAGAAGTCAGGTTTGAATCGAGATTGCTTGGACAATTACAGGCCGATATCTCTCACTACTACTATGTCGAAGTTACTAGAGTGTCTTTTGCTAAGTGAGCTGACCGAATCTTTCTCTCCCAGTGATCTACAATTTGGGTTTTTGGAGAACCGTAGTACTATCGAGGCAACGATGCTTGTTACTGAAACCGCGCAGTGGCACAGTCAGAGAGGTTCTCCAGTGTTTGCAGCCAATTTAGATGCGAGGAAATGTTTCGATAAAATTTGGCATGATGGTCTACTTTTTCGCCTAGAGAAGTTCCTGAGCCCCCGGTCCTGGCATTTGGTCACAGTGTGGTATAGACGTCTAAAAGCTTTCGTAACTTATGCTGACCATATGTCGAGTTGTTTTGACATCAAGCGAGGAACGAGACAGGGGGCCATTTTATCGCCAGCGTTTGCAAATGTTTTCTTTCAGCCTCTCTTAAGTCTACTTGATGTTAGCTTGTGCGGATCCTTCATGTTTGGCTACCATGTTCCTGCCGTGTGCTACGCAGATGATTTGATGCTGCTCTCTACCAATGCGGGAAACCTAAGTAAACTTTTGGAAATAGTTGATCAATTCGCAGGGTTTTGGAGGCTTGAATTCGTTCATGTAGATCCGATAAAAACCAAAAGTCACTGTATTGTATTTGGTGCTGAACTTTTGTCTGCGCTCCCCGTCTGGCACCTATCTGGTCAGCAGCTTGCTGTACGAGCAGTGACCGAACATCTAGGTGTCACATTGTCAGCGGATCTAGCCGGGTCACTTCATGTACAGCACCGTGTTAGTCGGGCTCGTGGAGCATTCTACGGACTGACTCCTGCTGGAATGCTCAGTGACTGCCTGTCGCCTTCAGATAAAGTCTTTCTTTGGAAAACTGTGGTCATCCCTGCCCTAACTTTCGGATGTCAAACAGTCCCCCTTCGCTCGTGTGATGTTGACGATCTGGACGGCCTGCAATCTCGGTGCATAAAAGCTGCCCTCGGATTATCTAAATACGCTCATCATTCTGCTTTGCTTGTAGCTTTAGGTATCCCGAGAATACATGAACGGCTCAGACGAGCGGTGCTGCTAGCCTTATCGGGTATATTCCGAAGCCACCAACACCGACTGAAACACATTATGCTACGAGAGCTGGCTGTTTTAGCTACCGAGCCTAGACAATTGCACGGAACATTTCTGGACCTGGCATACAAACTGTTAAACTGTTCTTTTCAAAACGTGCTTGATGCTGTGAGAGGTCATGTGGACCATAGCTTCATAGGCAGCGCGATCGACAGCGACGGTGTAGTAGATTCGCTCAGATTCCTTTTAAATTCCAGCCAGACAGTGATGTCCCGTCGTCTCGTGAGGCTTCTGTGCTCATAGGTTTTTTTTTTTCACAAATGTGTTGACTTGTTAATGTGCTTTGCAATTGCGTTTTAGTGTTGTGTTCATCGTCCTACATGCAGTATCTGTACTGCTGGTGTGTTTATTGGAAAGTGAAATGTGTATGTGTATTGTCTGAAAAAGACGCATAATAAATTGATGATGATGATAAGGATCGTCTATGTTTTATGATCTATTTTGCATGCTGAATCAGCTGGGGCTGGCAAAGGCCACTTCACGACTGGTGTTAAACTCACCTGTTAAACTCACCTGTTAGGTTTCCACAACCTCGGCTCGTAAAGGAAGGAGTGGAAACCTATTGCGTGCAGAGACGCGCCAATTCCTTGGGTGGGCAGATGGCTGGACCTCAGGCAAGGAATTGGAATGGTGCGTCTGCATTTGGTAAAACACTGGAAAAAAGAAAACTGGTGCGTGTTTTAAGTGCCAGAATCCTAGACAAGATGATCAATTATGTAAGTGAGAAAAGAGGGTACCGAAATGTGATACGTTCTCGGAAGGAAAGGTCAGGATAGGTAGCCTAGGTTAGTCCACCCGGTCCAGCTCGAGAAGGGCGGGCAGCAGCTACCTAGGGGGTAAGGGCGGAATATGATAGGTAGCCCAGGCGCGTATAACCCCGCCCCAACTTGGGAAGGGTGGGGCGCTTACCTGGGGGGGGGGGGGATGAAGGATGAGATGTGAATCGTTTGCCTTCTCTTATCTTGTGTGTTCGAACAATCTACTTCCCAGTGCGGCTTTCAGTCCCTTTTTAAACTGCACCAGGGACTCCTCGTTCACCAGCCAATCTGGGAGGGCATTCCAATCGCGCACGACTCTGTGGGTGAAAAACCGTGACCTTGCATCTATGAGACTCCGACACGTTTTTATCTTTCTACTATGCCCGCGCGTTCTGTTGTCGGTCTCCAGATCCCAGAGGATCTCCGGGGATATCTGACTGTGGCCGTGAAAAATCTTCCAGCATTTGATAATATCGGCTCGAAGGAGGCGTCCCTTCACAGAGAATAGGTCAAGTTCCTTTAGGCGATCACCATATTCCATATTGCGGAGCCCAATCACATTGCGAGTCCAGAGCCTTTGAACAGACTCTAATCTTTTGAGATCCTGTACATAGCCACTGTTCCAGATCGGTGACGCGTACTCGAGAATGGGGCGAATGTGAGATTTCAGTATATGAGTCATAAAGTCAGGCGAGCGACACCTGGTCGATTTCAAGAAATTGTGAGCAACTCCTCCAGCCTTCGCTGCTATGCTGGCACAGTGTTCATGGAATTTCATCTCGTTGTCGATGATAACACCCAGGTCACTACATGACGTAACGCAGGGAATTGTGTCACCAGCCAGTGTGTATGCCCCGGGCTCGAAGTCATGGAATCGTCGCCTAAATCGTATGACGGCACACTTCCTGAGGTTCATGCTGAGACCCCAAGACTCTGCCGTAGAGTGGAGCAAGTCTATATCCTTTTGTAGTGCCTCTTCACTAGTGTTGTGTTTATCGTTGTCTAATTTGATAAATACTTTAACCTTCGCCCTGGTGGGGGGGGGGGCCATTTTGGCCCCCCCTGTGGTTTTTCAGCGATAACTCAGAAACCACTTGAGTTAGCGCCCTGAAACTTTGTATAGCTGTTTATTCAACATTTTTACATCATGTCCTTTTTTGGGGGGTTCGGGTCAGGTCAGGTCAGGTCACAAGGTCACCAAAACTGACACCACCTCTAAAAAAGTTCAAAGCTCTCTCAAAGGCACAGCTTTTATCCGATCGATGTAAAATTTACAGTACTTGAAGATGTCACCCAGCTCTACAAAATGGCTATCTCGGATTTTTTATAAATGTGACCTAAGGTCAGGTCAGGTCATCGCTGCTCCCCATTATAAGTCAATGGGAGAATCGAAAAGTAGTTGTTTTTCAGCTAAATCGGGCGTGATTGTTCCTATATTTCGTTATTGAAGTGTCTTGGGTCAGCAAATCACAGCCCATGTGAAACCATTTGCTTGTGACCTCGCTGAGGTCACGCTAGGTCATCTCCCTGGTCACCAGAGGTCACCAGCGGTTTTTCTGCACTTACTTGTTATTGAATAGAGATAGAGACTCCGTTCGACGTTTATCGTGTTTGTCTCGTCAATGCGGATCGAATGATATGCAGCATGACCTATTTCGGTAAGGTCATGACCTTGACCTGAGGTCAAATTTTCAAAATGACCTTTCGAGGTCAAACTATATATCATTCGACGCGTCTCGACGAGCCAAGCACGATGGTGCATGAATCGTTTCTCTATTTTCTCGTGAATGCATGCTATAGTTAAAAACATTTTC